CAGAATGTCAGTGTTATCCTGATCACACCCCATCACTGCTGGCACAGATGATGGGGTTTCATTCCTGGGTTTTCTAAACAGAAAAAGAGAAGCAGCCACCAGTTTTGCAAAAGGTCAAAATCTGTCTTAGTCTGGAAGAATTCCTGTTGATTTCAGTGGATTTTGAATCAGGCCCAGATTTTATCTCTGTACCTCGCATTGATCCCCGAGTTTCAGCATTCTTCCTATCCTACTTTGGATCAGAGAAAACTTGAGAAAACCCTATTAAGACAATATTCCCCACTAGGAAAATAACGGCCCAGTTTCTAGGACCACTTCATATGTACCACGAATACACGAGCAGCCTTATTTTATACCCTCTTAGTCAAAACTTAAAGCAGAGAAACATGTTTTTCGATGCACCTTTACAAAGACACCATTGATGCAGGAGCAGAAACAACGACAAATTATTAAATTCTTGTTCTACGGCATTTATGCCCTTACAGAGATACTTATTTATCACTGTTATTAAAAGTTCATAAGGGACATCTCTAAAAGCTATAAGCAACAGTGGGCCCTTGAATAGACAATAAATCCACAAATGCTTAATTGGCTTTTCAAAGCTGCCGAGCACCAGCGCTTGTGAGAGGTCAGCTCTTTAAGCCATCGTTTGCCTATCAAATATTAAGTTCAAATGCCTACATTCTGGATGATTACTATTGAAAAAAGAACCTGTACTTGTTACAGCAATAGCCTTCTTACAGAAGAGGTTACTGACAGCTCTCCTGTGAAGCCAAACGGCACCGGTAAGTCTAGGTCAACGCACACTGTGCCACGAAAGTCAATACGCTTTCAGAAGATGCTTAAAAATGAGGACCTGCTGCAATACAAATACACCTCGGGAGTTCAAGGCATCCGAAGGGCTGCAGTTCTGCGGAGACCCCAGAGCAGCAGAAGTCATTGCACATTTTTCTCGTCATACCTCATTTCTTTTCCCACGGAGCTAGAAGAGAACGGGTCGGAGCATACGCCGAATGGTGGAAGTGTTCTTTCTGGGCTACTTTCAGGTTACTTGAAATTCAATCACAGTGCTTCAGATACATAAAAGAGAGCAACAAGGCATATTTAATGCTGCATTTTATATTCCTAACGTCACACAGAGAAAGGCATTCACAGGTAAAGATTATGAGCCTGAAGTCTGTGTCCCAAAGATCTGTTGCATGTGGACTGGGATGCCAAGCACAGACGTATTCCTGGAATTAGTAGGACTCTGTGGGTGCTCACACATCGCACCCAGCAAGGAGCAAAACTGAGGACTCTGAGCCTTGTAATTGTGCTACGTATAAAGATTAATTGGAGCATCTAAGTGGGTCTTTCTTTCAGAAGGCATCTACACAGGTTCAAGGTGTTCCTCTTAGGCCCTTAAACTGACCTTAAAACATTGGAAAACCTTAGAGCAGGCTTTAGTCATAACAGATAACCCGCCAACCAACCATTCCTTCAACATAGAGAGCTCTTTCAATAGATACCTCTTTATTTGAAATGGAATGCATCTTGAAAAATATGAAAAATAAATCACATCTCTCAGAAATCATTTATGAGTCATATTTACACACAATTTTTTTTTGACGACACCGATATTTCTGCTCACAATAGGATATGCTAGAAAACATTTGGTACATCACTGCAGCTATAATTCAGAAGCTGGCATTTGCATATCATGAACCTTAAAAAAGAGGAATTACTTCAGGATGTCACAGAGACAATATCCACTTGATCTTCCTTTTCCCCCAATTTCTAAATTTTCTTGGTCACCACAGCTTGAATATTCTTGCTGAATCTGCCCCTTAATCGCCTTTTTTTTTTTTTTTAAGACATGTAATTTTGACCTCTTTATGAACAGACTGTCCACACTTTTGCTACCTATACCAAGCATTTGCCTCTGTGTGTTTTGCTGGCATTTTTGTTTATTCTCTAATGAATTTACTCCAGCCACATGCTGTTGGCTTTTTCTGTTTTGGTAAGAGGAAGGATGACACGGTTTCTTTACTTGCAAAGTTCCAGTAAGATGGAGCATAATCTGCTGGACCTACTTTCATAGCCATCCCTTACAAGGCAGTGATGACAGTATTTAACCAAGTAGCTCCAATGAAGACTATGCAGTAGCAGAGGGGCAAGCCAAAAAAAGCCCAGAACTACCTCATTTATAACATCAAAGAATTTCTTGGTCTAAAATTACTATCAATCAAAAAAAACCACCCAACCAAACCAAAACCACCATGGAATTTAGAGCGTGAGAAAGTTGTCGGATTGTCCACGTCAAGACAATTTAGCCTTATTTATACTGACATGGCATGAGCCACACGGTCCGACTGTCCCCAGGGGACCCCAGCCAATTTGTTCCCATTCAGTTTTCAGGAGACGGTCCAGCAGTACAAGGGGGAGGTTTGATCCTTACCCCCATCCCACCAACTCGGGCTGCAGGGCCAGAACAGCTCAAGGTGGATTTTGTGACGCGACCATCTCCCACGCTATGAATTTGCCTGACACCAACATTTTTAAAGAGGTGACACAGCAGGCAACGGCAACTGGCAAGGGTTTGCTGGTGAGCTGTGTCAGACCAAATGGTTTTGAGACCATCCTTCAGACCAACTTAAAACAAGAAATGCAAGGTGCAAGTGGGACATTGACATTGAACCGGTGAAAGAGACCAGCAAATTCAAAACAAAAGCTGTTTTCTCAAACCTTAATGTCAATTATATCACTAAAATTGTCATCTTTCATTTTCAAAGTACAAATTCTTCCAGAAGAGCAGTAAAATTTCAGCTTTGGACTAGATCCATAGACTTGTGTGGCATTCAGGGGCTTGCATCCACTGAGGAGAGGAATATCTGCCTCTCCTAGAGAAATACGTGTGTCTCCGATCACATAGGGATTAATTTTCATCAATTACATTTATCCTTCAGTAGGCTAAAACGTATTTTAGTAGGTGAGATATCAGCGATACGTCTGTATATCTGAAAAGGTGTATTAGTTACTCAGTAAACTGTAATTAATGACTCTAAAGAGAGGAGCCAAATTACAAATTACAGTCTATTTTGTGAGTCTTTGACTAGCTCATTAGAGAATCCCCTTGCAGCTCTAACATCCAAGCGTTAGCAGAATGATAATGGCAGATGTACAGAGATGTGGAAATTGGCTATTATGATTGCCAAGACAGCGAATCTAATCCTAGAAGATGCAGGGCACCTTCGATTTCAATTAGTCTCAAAGTAATAACTTTGTTAGGACAGCTGCAGTCTACCACCCCAAGCTCGTCACGCAACCTCATCAAGGGCCAGATCGGAAAGAAGCGCTTGGCAGTAACCGCAGAGGACCGCCGAGGTCCGGGCTTTAATTCTGCACCACGACGTGTTTTGCACCTCTGGGTACGTGACCCCGACCCCCGGGGACAAGGAACAAAAGAGGAGGGCTAAAAGAGATCTCGACTTATTCCTTACAGGCCTGAGCTTAAGCTTAGGGTGCAGGGGAAGGGACAGTCATGTGCGGCAGCCAATTCCGAGATCTTCCTTTGAGCGTCACTTCAGGTTTTTTGCTTTAAACGCTTCAAGAAACAGCTTGAACCGAGAACGCGGGACTTTTACGGTCAAGCTACACCTCGGTTACACAAACAAAAAAGTCCTGGATGTGTGGCTTTAAAAGATTTTGTTTACTTTCCTGTAACTTGTAAAGGGGCCAAAAGCCGTTTTCGCCACTACGCTAGTTAAAATAAATAGCTCCGCGGCTGCAACTTTTTACCTTTAACCAGAGATAACGGGGCGCATCGCTCCGTCTGGCTCACGACCTCCCCGCTTCATTGCAGCCGGCGGAGCCGGGCCGTAGCGGCACACAAGGTGAAATCACCCGTCGCCCAAAGAGCCCGGTCCCCAAAAACCCACGGGCCCGCGCCTGGCTCCCTCCTCTGCTCCGGGGCGAAGAGCTCCCAGCCGCGCTCGCCGGCATCGACACAAACTCCCACTGACTTTTCAGAGGCAGAGGAAGACACACCAGCTGTGCAATTAGCCCTTTGTTTTCCAACTTCACGGCTTCGTCAACGTTTTTAGAGGCGAGATCGCAGGCGCCTCTCGCCATCTGACAGTGCTAAACACCAAAATTCATCTAGTTTATCTCAGCTAGAGAGCAACTTTCAGCTTATGAAAACTGTGACCAAAATAACCCATTTGCACACTAAGACATACGTAAAATGGATTTTAAACTAGGGGCTACTTTAATGCAAGACATTTAAAAACCGCCGTGAAAATTCGACGCAGGTCGAGAGCCCAGATCTCTTACAAACCGACCGTGCAGAGGGAGCCCTGAACTCGGACGCTAAGAAACGTTCACAAACGCTTCTCGGCTCCAGCCCTCCAGCCTAGGAGCAAGCACATCCAACGGGTAACCGGAATCCAACTGCGATTCTGTATCGCAAAAGAAGTTGGTCGGGTTCCCCTCCACTCATACATTAAAACAGATGGGTTTTAATCTCAGAATGGCAATCAACGTTACTTTTCCGAATAACCAAGCGTGAATAAATTTTATCATCTTCCACCACGTGTGGCATTTTAAAAGAAAATCATTTAAAACCCAGACTAAAATTGTTATTCTCACTAGAGAGAATAGTTTTCAATACGCAGGATGGGTTTCAGCCAAATTCCAAACCTCACATCACATTTTCCATGTTAGTGTAATACAGTGTGTTTCGGGTAAAAAATGAAAAACTCTTTTGTCAAATTGCGCACAGCTGAACTACCCAGAACTTTTTAGTTCCTTTAGGAAGCTAACATACATGCTGGTTTTTCCCCTCTGCTTTTTGGATATGGCCTACATTCAGAAATGTCTTGCAAAATAAGCCTTTAAAAAAAACAAAACGAAACCAACCAACCCTAATAAATAAAATAAAATACATTAAAATAAAGTTACGGTACATCATGTCTCCTAGAAGTCCCATCACACCAAAGGATCCTTTCCAAGGTTCATAAATAATCGATTTGAAATGCTTGTCGGCACCGAGGGCGGCAAAGCAGCAGCAGCAGCAGCAGCAGCAGCTAACTGGGGTTCAGGTTGTCGAGCCGCTTCTCTCCAGCCTACCCTCATCTCCGGCGTTTGCCCAGTTTTTGACCAACTCAAGTACGTCCGCGACGAAGGCGTTCAGTCCCGCTTCCCCGAAACGCTTCCTTAGCTTCACCTGCAATCAAGAGGGCACAGCACGAAGGGCAGGCGGTGAGTGGAAGAAGCGATGCCCGCAGAAGGTTCTCCCCCTTCCCCAGCAAACGAACCCGCGGGGTCGGCTCCAGTCCCGGGGGCACCCAGTCCTGGAGTGGGGTGCCGGAGCAAAGGGGGAATCCTGGAGGGTTGCGGAACAAGGTGCCGGAGGGAAGGGGGATCCTGGAGTGTTGTGGAACAAGGTGCCGGAGGGAAGGGGGTCCCGGAGGGCTGCAGAGCGCCAGGTGCTGGAGGGAAGGGGGATCCTGGAGGGTTGCGGAGTGGGGTGCTGGAGGAAGGGGGTCCCGGAGGGAAGGGGGATCCTGGAGGGTTGCGGAGTGGGGTGCCGGGTGCTGGAGGAAGGGGGTCCCGGAGGGAAGGGGGATCCTGGAGTGTTGTGGAACAAGGTGCCGGAGGGAAGGGGGTCCCGGAGGGCTGCAGAGCGCCAGGTGCTGGAGGGAAGGGGGATCCTGGAGGGTTGCGGAGTGGGGTGCTGGGTGCTGGAGGGAGGGGGGCCTGGAGCGAAGTGCCAGACGGATGGGGAGGTCCTGGAGGGTTGTGGAGCGGGGTGCCGGAGGGAGTGAGGATGCCGGAGGGCTGCAGAGTGGGGTGTGGGGTGCTGGGTGCCAGAGGGAGGGGGTCCCGGAGGGCTGCAAAGCAGGGTGCTGCAGGGAGGGGGGTCCCGGAGCGGGGTGCGGGAGGGAAGAGGGGGTCCCGGAGGGTTGCGGAGCGGGATGCCGGAGGGAAGGGGTGTCCCGGAGCGGTGTGCCGGCGGGACGAAGGGGTCCCGGAGCGGGGTGCCGGCAGGAAGAGGGGTCCCGGAGCGGGGTGCCGGCGGGAAGAGGGGTCCCGGAGCGGGGTGCCGGGGTCCGTACCTGCCCTAGGCGGAGTTGGAGGCGCTGCGGAGGCGGGGGCCGTGGGGCTGCGCCAGGTGCTGCTGCTTCTGCCGGGTGGAGCGGACGGCGAGGATGGCCTGGCGGTTCTTGTACTGCACCATCTGCAGCGTGATCGCCGCGTTCCAGCCCTGCTCCTGCGCGCACCGAAAGTCGATCTCCTTCCCCTCGGCCATCACCACCGTGAAGTACACGTACTTGCCTTTCCGCTCCACGCAGTCCACCGTCTTCATGTTGGAGAAGTGAAGCTCCTTCATCTTGGCCGCCGGCTCGGCCGGCAGCGGCTGCTGCGGCGGCGGCTGCTTGGGGGGGACGAGGAGCAGCCCCTCCTCGGTGAGGATGCAGCGCTTCTTCTTCCAGAGCTGCAGGAGCCCGTCGCTCCTCTTCTCCAGCACGCCCTCCTTCACCGCCTTGCAGCCGCTCTCCAGCATCCTTCTCGCATGGGCCGGCGGGGCCGGGAACCTTCGCCCGCAGGGGCTGGGCTCGGGGGGCAACCGGCACCACCCGATCACTCGCCGCCCCGCTCCGGCTCCCAACCGGAGGGCCGGGACCGCCCCGGCCCGCAAGAAGCGGAGCGGCTGCCGCCCGGACGGCGGCGTGGCGGGGCAGCGCGGCGCG